CAGCATAATTTATTAAAATAGAGAATTCATATCTGTTGATTTAAAGCAAACACATGACCATTACATTGTCATTGCTATCTGCCGCGGGCTCTACCTGCGGGTACCTGTCAGGTATACGAATACTTCACACCCCCATTGTTTTATTGCCTATACACACCGGCAGATTTCACACCTTTAATCATCCTAATTTACACAAAGCAAATGCTGAGGAAAAAACAAACACAAGCCCAATAAATGCGACATTTCTTTTTTTAAATCATTGCCCTAAACGGTATTGCTAAAAGCACACTAAACATGGAATAGCAATTCCTGCCCTAAGATATATATTGTACAAAAAAATAAACACAACAGCTAGGGTAAATCCTTAATCTTTCTTCATATGATGTAAACAAACTCTCTTTAATTTTATGTGTTTAAGTAAAGATTAAAACATTTTGCACCACCCGGACCTTTAAACTTCGGCGGACCTTTTCTTATACGGGCCGGACCTTTTCTTATAAAAGGCGGACCTTATATGTTATCGTATTAGGTCCCCCCGGACCTTTAAACGAGGCGGACCAAATATTATGCGACACCGGAAAGGCCTGCGACGATGCGATTGCTACAAAACAGTACCACACTGGAATATTTTTAACTAGGCGCTCATTGGTACAACTGATCTCTTATTATATTTTTCACCTCAAAATTGAAATTTCAATAAAATACAGAATGCTTAAAGCACAGTTAAGGAGTTATGCCATTGCCGATGTGAATTGTGACACCCCCAACCCACAGTGCACTACTGTGCCTTCCTATTAATAATTAATCGAATCCGCAACTTGGCTACAGCGCTAGCTCACCCATCTTTTTAAAAGATAAGCTTGTATAAATATATACTGCATTTATTGGGACATTTACATTTGTGGCAATACTTAAAAATGAAAAGCGGAAGATCCCTATAAACAGAATGATGCAATGAAAGTAAGGCCATCTATAGAGTCTCCAGGGAAAATCAAGTACAAACAACCCCGAACAAAATGGCCAAATTCATTATATATTCACCGTTCCTTTAAATGGTTAAAGCAATGTAAAATTATCCCGTCTCCAGATAACAATCAATGATACACCTTGGTCTTAACAAACTTCATGCTTCCGGGTAATAAAAGGTGTTTTCAGCACGACGTGTTCGTGTCTTTAAATGTTATACAAAATCGATATGCATTTATCTTTCGGTTCAACAGTTTAAGTAGTGTAGCCATATATATTGAAAAGAAACGCAGAGTAACATAATATTCGATAATTATTCTAATACTCAAAAATTATGAAAATTTGTATGGGAGGTATTTTGGTTACTTTGCACCTAAATTGATGTTCAGAATTACTTAACCATAAAAGTTATGATGGCACATATGGACCAAAAGCACGTGCAGATTGACGATATCAGGTTTGTCAACAAATTTCTTAATAAAAGTTGATACTCTGGAGGTATACACATTGTTTTTCGCTATTTAAAGTCAATTTGAATTTCTTGCAAAAATGGTACGGCTGACGGATGTTCAAAGCTGTCTGGCGATTTCTTTGCCTGAGAACGAACAAAGGCAACAATAGGTTGTTGTAAAGTTTGTTGTGGATTTTCTATCATAAGGCGTCTTATCGGTCCCTAGAGAAAGAGTGGAAGGGATTTCGTTCAACCATGACGGGAACGTCAGCGCGAAACGAGACCTTGTCAAGACAGGGCCTTCCACCCTACTACCTGCGTAATCGCGACGTCACAATCTTCACTTCCACCCCAAAAACTGGAAGAAACCGATTGTGTGAGTTTGGTCTGCGAGCTTGTCGACTTTACGGAGGTGTTCGTCTCAAACGCGCACGTGAGCACTGTATGCCTATTTTTTTCAGCATATTTACCCCCACTCAATGTAGCCAGGGTATAATCAAGACTTTCTAGCAAAGAAACTTTGTCTCCACTTGAACATTTGTGGGCATAACTCCACCGTAGAGAAAGAAGGCGTCGGAATATCCCAGCCCCTTTTGACCAGCTAAGGATTACCTTGTTGGAAGAGTGGATAGTATCCCTATGAGAAAGAAAAATGTACCGAAGACCTCCACGCACAGGAGTATTAAGGCTGTGACCCATGCGTAAGAGAGGTATAGGAGATATTGACTACATTTTCGATTTCACTTTTGTGGGGGTACCGTTAAATGAGTTTCATTTCCTATTGAATTATTCGTCAAAATCAAATGAAATTTTCTTAAATTGTTGATTGAAGATGTGTCTAAATGTTAGAAAGCAATATTGGAAAATACATTCAAAAAGTTATCAATAGAACACATCAAAAGTTTACCCTACATTTCTTTTTCCTTTCAGTATATATACAAGATATTTTATTTACCAATCAAAGGCCCCGAAAGGCATTTCAACATATATATAAATGCACAATTTAAACATATTTTACAATAAAAAATGTTTGTATATATACGAGGGGTGATCAAGAAGTTCGCTAACTATCTCTATATTTACAAAACAACTATTCAGAACAGAATGAAATTTGGCACACATAGTCATAAACATGTTCTATAAATAGCAGATGTTAGTAATGTTTTGCTCCATTTTTGTGACGTCACAATGTGAAAATGACGTCAATATGTAGATGAATTGTAACAAAAATGGCTGACTCAGTCGTACTCAAACAAAGAAAGGTTGTAAAGTTTAATGTATATCCTGGAAATTCCTTTGCAGTAGCATATAATAATTTGTACAAGGTTTATTTAGACAAAAGACTTGCCAAAAGTTCAATCATTAATTGGATTGATTATTTTAGTGAAGGATTGATTAATTGTTTGTTGTTTAACGTCCCTCTCGAGAATTTTTCACTCATATGGAGACGCCACCATTTGCCGGTGGAGGGCTACAAACTTTGACCTATACTCGGCACTCAGGGCCATTGAGCAGTAAGGGATCTTTATCGTGCCTGCACCTACTGCGACACGGGACCTCGGTATATACGGTCTCATCCGAGGGACCGGTGTCCACGTCCCGCAGTGGGATTCGAACCCGCGACGTAAGGATCAACTCCTTACTCCGCGACTCTAGAGCAGACGCTCTAACCACTGCGCTATGCGAGCGACTTTTAGTGAAGGAAGGGAGATGGTTAAAAATGATGTTTGTTCTGATGCCCAGTTAAAGTAAGCTGGGGACGAGATGTGTCCTTAGTTGAGCAATTTGTTATGAAAGATCGCCAAGTTACAGTTAGAAATAAAGTTTAATATTTTAAGAATATTATAATTATTAAATCCCTAAAATACCGTTTACTTTAGACTTTAAACATATCAGTTATGATAAAAAGAAGGAGCCTATACTTGATTCACATTTGAAAAACGACGCATCCAAGACAGAGAAGACGGGTTGTGATGGTCACCGTGTGCATTCTGGGATAAGATATCCTTATCAATGAAATATATGGAGATAACGAACAGTATTCAAGCTCAAAAGTCCATTATACAATACAAAATAGGAGCAGAGCAAACACGGACCTCCAAACATCAGAGGTGGGATCAGGTGCCATGGAGGAGTGAGCATCCCCTGCCGACCGGTCACACCCGCCGTGTGCTCCTTGTCATGATCGGGAAATAACGGAAAAATCCGTCGACAATTCAGTGTGTAAATAATGGCCTAACAATTAGTATGAAAAACGTCAGTCAGCATTTGACTCAATGATAAATTGTATTTGTTGACAAGGTCATTGTATCGACGATAGAACTTACGAAATGATGACTTTAAACGAGCCAGCTGATATTCTTGTTTCATCAACTTATTTGTCAATAATTTACCTCGTTTTAGAAATTGTACATACGTAGAGCATGCTCTTGCGTATCGAATCAACTGAGAGATATATACCCCGTATGCAGGTGATGAAGGTATATTGCTGCATAAGTAAGGGAAGTTGACGATTGAAAAGTTAAAGTCATCAATTTATCATAAAGCTTGGTTGTTAGATTACCATTAACGTCTTTTTCACGTAAAATATCCAAATATGAAACAGATGTGTCAGACTCTGTGGTATCTTTTATCTCAAGTTCACCAGGATATATCGTATCGACATAAGAATGAAAATAGCCATTGTTAATTGACAATACGTCGTCGATATATCTAAATGTCGAGTTGAACGCCACAGCAAGTGTTTTCTTCTTTTCACGTACAAGATTTTGGACAAATTCTGCTTCATATGAATACAAAAAAGGTCTGCTAATAACGGGGCGCAATTGGTACCCATAGAAATTCCAATAGATTGTTGGAAGACCTGGTCTCCAAAAACCACATAGATATTGTCAATCAGAAACTCAAGCATCTTTTTAATGTCAACTTCAGAGTACTTGTGTGTACAATCAGAATGTTTTTTAACAAAATAAACCATCCTATTGCCGAGATTTGGCCATTTATGTCAAATTGACAATTCTTGCTTAAAAAAAATAACTTGCATGGTAAGAAATAAACGACTCGGAAAAATCTTTTAGCATCTGTGAACCGAACGCTATGGAACATGTCACGTGACCGCCTCGATCACGTGATTCGCGCATGGGCAGAACGGTGGCAAATGTGCACTAAACCTTTAAAAAAACAATAAACAACGAAATGTAATTTTATTTCTTTTATGGAAGTTATTCAATTAGTTCGCGAACTTTTTGATCACCCCTCGTATATATAGATATAATAAAACAATACATTTGAGTCAGGCAGTTTATTTGTACATAGATAGGTCTTTTAAGAAACACAACAATTGCTAATTATACTTCAAGAAGCAAAGAACAATCGTTAGCAACATTAATTATATTTCCGAAAAAAAGTGTCATTTCTGTGAGCAGAATTTTTGATTGTTTGGCATTTTTCTTCTGATCTAGTATGTCCAACAAGACTACACACCAAACACTGTAGACTTTCCAAAACGGATCTGCAAAGGAACAAAAAAAAATTAAAATGGACCAAATCACACACTTTTCACATGGAGTTCATATCAACCCGCCAGGTTCTTGTTCATAAATTCGGTCAGTCTCTTTAGCGCAAGGTCACACGCTTCTTTATTGTAGTTTGGACCGGTGTAATTGGTGAATGCGTGGTTAGCTCCGGGATACTTGTACATTTCGTATTTAACGCCCTTGGCTTTGAATTTCTCCTCCAGCTTTGCCGCGTCTTTTGGTGACGAAAAACCTTCTAGTGCATCAAGCTCACCAAAATGGCACTGCACCGGACATTTAATGGTGGATACGTCACAGAGAGTTTCGCCTGGAATGCCATAAAAAGGTGCCGCTGCATAAATATAGTCTTGTTCTAAAGCGGCTGTAGCCAATGTTAGGGCACCGCCCATACAAAAGCCGGTAACACCCACCTACAAGATATAGCAGAGAAGATATACGAGCTGTATCTTGCATTAAAAAATATATGACAAATAAGAGCGTTTTATCTACCTGCAAATTTTGTGTAATTAGTTGCCTATCTTGACTTATGGTTTTTCACATACCTTGGTACACCCCATCGTTTTCAGATGGAAGGCTGCGGCTTTGATGTCTTTAACAGCGCCAGGCCAGTCCAGATTGTTCATCAAATGACCAGCTTCCTCGTTGTCCTTGGCCAATTTTCCGCGGTAAAGATCGGGAACAATTGTAACAAATGGACCCATATCTGCTAGGTCTTTAGCCTCCTTTTGGATTTGCTCATTCATTCCCCACCATTCCTGGATGACCACGAGCCCTTTCTTGCTCTTTGCCAAATGTTCATCAAACACAACACAAGGCAATTCACCTTGAGCGTTTTCTGATTTTACAGAAACTTTCTTTCCACTCATGATTTGAACCTATCAAAGAAAAAAATTGAAACAAAAAATGATAGATTTTTTAAAAAAGTTCAGCAAATCTATATTAAAGGGGTTATACCCCTACCAATCTTTTTTTTTTTTAGAATTACACCGTATTAAATAATTCAACCAGAAACACGGTGTATTTTGCACTAGTACGAGTCATCATGATTTGTTTTCCCCAAAACTAGCACTGTTGGCTTTCCTTGCATTTCTGTAGCTCAAAGGTCTGACAACCAAATATAAATGTGCAGAACACGATCCCCAAAATATGACCATAGCCGATTTCCAAAATTGTTTTGCTGACCGAGACTGAATGTACTGATATCTGGTTGACTTTTTTGCCCCCTAATTTGCACCCTTCCCCCATTTACTTTTTTCCCTCCCCAAAAAAAGTTTCTCAGAAGCATGTATTTCGTTCCTTCCCTTCCCAGTTTGAAATAAAACTGATTATAAATTATAGTTTTTTAATGATTTGAACACTTGAAATATTTTAACAGAAAATTATTACATGTTCTCAGAAATTAACGATTTATCAAAGTTATTTAGTATTTGACGTTGATGAAAGAAGTGGGTTTCCATACATATTCAACCCCCGTTCTAGAAAAAAAAATTACACTCGACATGCATCAGCTCATTTGTTGTCATCTACGCTAAATAACAATACTTTCTACGTATCCTTTATATTTCTGCTTACCTCAATCACTTACCCTTCCCGACAGACGAGAATGTGCTAAGGCGTACTCCAGGTGAATTTGTAGGCTCTCCAACTCAGGTGCGCCGCGCCAACTTCCCGGTGCCTATCTCTGTACGGAGAAACAAGCGGGTAAAAATAAATACAAGTCATGTACACGTGGTACAATGTTAAAGTGAAAGTCAAAATAATTGTCATTAAATATAGATACAACAGGAAAAAGTCTCTCGCTCTTTTAGGAATGACAGAAATACAGTGGTATTTTTCGCACAGTTTGCTCACCGTTCGTTTACCTTCGCTGCACTCTCAGGGCTCTCGATTGTCTATCAGTTTAAAAAAAAAACAACATTTTTCCCTAAACTGAATGTGTTCTTTTTCCCAATCGTCATTACTCTAAAAAAAATTAAAGAACCTATAAATTATTTGTATATAAAATTACTAATTAATCCAACTTGTTACTCGTATTCTTGTGTATTACAAATAAGAAACAAAATTGATAACAAACATCCGGCAGAAACCAAGTATTATGAGTTGTATTTCCCCAAAATGTCCTATTCTTAACTGCCCTGGTCCCATGCAGTAGGACCAGTACCTACATGTGGCTTGAAAGCCCTGGCTCTTCGTTTGCTCTGTTCATCGTTCTGTTTGCTCCGTTCACAAAGGGACTGTACCATTCCCTATCCAGAGTTGTCGTTCGTACATTGTACCTCACATTATGTACACCTCTGTCAACGCTCGTTGTACAAGATTCTTGGAAAAGTTTTAAAGGGTGAAAAATTGTATTTAAAATCGTTTTAAATTATTTTAATTATCAATAAAGATGATTTAAACATTTATTTTATCCCTATAAATGATTTATTTTCGAAGTATTTAAATTAAAGAACTATTTTGCGGAGTATAGATTAAAAACTTTGAAAAAGAATATTAAATCAATCCTTTTAATGGATGATAGATTTAAAATAAATTATTTGATAATCTAAACAAAGACAGCTTAAAATTATAATACAATTTTTCAAATTTTCCAAAAATCTTGTTCAAAGAGGGTTTGGTGTGTGGGAACTTGGCAGGAACGACAAATCTGGATAGAGAAGGGGATTAACTGTACATGCTACATATTTACATTTAATGGGATAGGGAAGGGGACTGTACATCTATACTTATAAATTAATAAATTTTGCAAATAAACTTCGAAACGGGTGCACCAGAGTTCTTACTTACTCCTCTAAGAATACACACGATACAAGATGACGTCCGTAAACTATATTTAGATTTCACTTGCATTGTAAATATCGTACATTAAATTAAAAGTCTACTTTTATTTTCTGTAAACAGCCATGAAATAGCAAAAACGCGAGTACGGTGGCGTTTCCGGTTGGCGGATCTAAGTTACTGGCAATTTTTAATGAAACTGGCTACAAGCAATCGTTTATTTATTTCATTAAACGTCATTACTGAATTATTCAATCAAAACTTGATTTAAATGATATAAAAGAAATAAGTTGTGATAACCGATTAAAAAGGAAAATGTGCAAATTATTTTCGTCATTCACCGATCGTAATATTGACGGAAGCTTCTAGAACATCATATAGAATTACATGTAGCTGCTTGCCTTTAACATAAAAAAGGCTTTTGTGTGAATGGTTATTGAAATAATGGTAAATCATTGATAACACTGTAAGTTGTGAATATATTTATATATCGAAAGACTATTACATATACATGTATTTTGTAGGTTTTCCTAATAAATTTATCGGTAAAATTTGTATATACTCCTCACTGAGAGCATCGTGGCAACGAACCCGAAGTACAATTTGGATTTCGTAATAAACCTGCTTACATGAAAAGAGAAAAATTAATGAACAAGGCATTGTTCAAATACAATTATGCTGTAAAATTTTGTGCTTTAATCAATTCATTTCAGTTTTTTTTTTCAGAATACAGTCTTTTGTATCAAATACACGGCCTATTCAAGTGGCGGATCCAGGAATTTTGAAGGGGGGGGCGACCAGTTTGGGGTAGGGGCCCACGGACACACCAAAAAAAATTGATTATTAAATTTTATGTATATTTTGGACACAAAACGGGAGGGGGGGGGCCTCCCTCTAAATCCGCCAGTGTATTCATAGGGCGTTATATAAAAACTAATTTTTACACAGGTACTTGGGTCTTGGATTATAAACCTGTATGTACCTTATTGATTTGTTTAAAAAAAAAAGAGATAAGGTACAGTTTTTACATATCAATAAGGTGCATACATATTTATAAACCAAGACCCATGTACCTGTGAATTTTTACCAAAAAAAAAAAATCAATTTCTCAGTAAAATGTGCATTTCTTGACGGAAATGAAAAAAAGAGTATCTGAAGTACAATACAGTATATACAATATCCATAACATATAGTATATAACAAGTTTTACAATAAACGTCAATTAATGAAATTAATGAAATTAATGTAATTGTTATTGTAGTTTTACAAAGGAGGGTGGGGTGGGGGTGGAGACGTACTTCTACTTCATGCGGGATTTTGAACAAAGTATTTCTTCCTGCTATAAGCCTGTAGGCTGTCAGTAGAAACTACAATATATAATTTAATGGATTTTTTCTGTCGATAGGGGTATAAATTCAATTCCCAGCGCTTGCGCGGGATTTCATCTAGTGCTTCATATTTTCATTTATTGGGGTAGAGAAGGGGACTGTACATGCTACATATTTACATTTATTGAGATAGCGAAGGGGACTGTACATACTACATATTTACATTTATTGAGATAGAGAAGGGAACTGTACATACTACATATTTACATTTATTGAGATAGAGAAGGGGGCTGTACATGCTACATAATTAGATTTATTGGGATAAAGAACGGGACTGTACATGCTACATATTTACATTTATTGAGATAGAGAAGGGGACTGTACATACTACATATTTACATTTATTGAGATAGAGAAGGGGACTGTACATACTACATATTTACATTTATTGAGATAGACAAGGGGACTGTACATGCTACATATTTACATTTACTGGGATAGAGAATGGAACTGTACATACTACATATTTACATTTATTGAGATAGAGAAGGGGGCTGTACATGCTACATAATTAGATTTATTGGGATAAAGAACGGGACTGTACATGCTACATATTTACATTTATTGAGATAGAGAATGGGACTGTACATACTACATATTTACATTTATTGAGATAGAGAAGGGGACTGTACATGCTACATATTTACATTTATTGGGGTAGAGAAGGGGACTGTACATGCTACATATTTACATTTATTGAGATAGAGAAGGGGACTGTACACGCTACATATTTACATTTATTGAGATAGAGAAGGGACTGTACATACTACATATTTACATTTATTGAGATAGAGAAGGGGACTGTACATGCTACATATTTACATTTATTGAGATAGAGAAGGGAACTGTACATACTACATATTTACATTTATTGGGATAAAGAACGGGACTGTGTATACTACATATTTACATTTATTGAGATAGAGAAGGGGACTGTACATACTACATATCTACATTACTGAGATAGAGAATGGGACTGTACATACTACATATTTACATTTATTGAGATAGAGAATGGAACTGTACATACTACATATTTACATTTATTGAGATAGAGAACAGGACTGTACATACTACATATTTACATTTATTGAGATAGAGAAGGGGACTGTACATGCTACATATTTACATTTATTGAGATAGAGAAGGGAACTGTACATATTACATATTTACATTTATTGGGATAAAGAACGGGACTGTGTATACTACATATTTACATTTATTGAGATAGAGAAGGGGACTGTACATACTACATATCTACATTACTGAGATAGAGAATGGGACTGTACATACTACATATTTACATTTATTGAGATAGAGAACGGGACTCTACATACTACATATTTACATTTATTGAGATGGAGAATGGGACTGTACATACTACATATTTACATTTATTGAGATAGAGAGGGGGACTGTACATGCTACATATTTACATTTATTAGGATAGAGAAGGGAACTGTACATACTACATATTTACATTTATTAGGATAGAGAAGGGAACTGTACATACTACATATTTACATTTATTGGGATAAAGAACGGGACAGTACATGCTACATATTTACATTTATTGAGATAGAGAATGGGACTGTACATGCTACATATTTACATTTATTGAGATAGAGAAGGGGACTGTACACGCTACATATTTACATTTACTGGGATAGAGAATGGGACTGTACATGCTACATATTTACATTTATTGGGATAGAGAAGGGAACTGTACATACTACATATTTACATTTATTGGGATAAAGAACGGGACTGTACATGCTACATATTTACATTTATTGGGATAGAGAACGGAACTGTACATACTACATATTTACATTTATTGGGATAAAGAACGGGACTGTACATACTACATATTTACATTTATTGAGATAGAGAATGGGACTGTACATACTACATATTTACATTTATTGGGATAAAGAACGGGACTGTACATGCTACATATTTACATTTATTGAGATAGAGAAGGGGACTGTACATGCTACATATTTACATTTATTGAGATAGAGAAGGGGACTGTACACGCTACATATTTACATTTATTGAGATAGAGAAGGGGACTGTACATACTACATATTTACATTTATTGAGATGGAGAAGGGGACTGTACATGCTACATATTTACATTTACTGGGATAGAGAATGGGACTGTACATGCTACATATTTACATTTATTGGGATAGAGAAGGGAACTGTACATACTTCATATTTACATTTATTGGGATAAAGAACGGGACTGTACATGCTACATATTTACATTTATTGGGATAGAGAAGGGAACTGTACATACTACATATTTACATTTATTGGGATAAAGAACGGGACTGTACATGCTACATATTTACATTTATTGGGATAGAGAACGGAACTGTACATACTACATATTTACATTTATTGGGATAAAGAACGGGACTGTACATACTACATATTTACATTTATTGAGATAGAGAATGGGACTGTACATACTACATATTTACATTTATTGGGATAAAGAAC